GGACCAGGAGTTGGACTTGGTGATCCTTGTGGGTCCCTTCCCACTGAGGATTTTCCATGATTCTGTGCCAAGATCCTTCAGCAGTTACGTGAGTATGCAGCACCTTGAAGTGCTCAGCTGATGGAAGTCAAATGTTTGCGTGAAAATTTTCTGGCATTGTGGAGATGAAGAGCCCTTTGTTTTCCTTAGTATTTATCAGATCCCATCTCTTTTTTTTTTTTTTTTTTCTGGAGGCTGTTCTAGCCCACAGAGGAACAGTATGAGAAGGACCTACTCTGAGGTTCTGAGCAAATTTCCTGCGTCATGGAGTCATTTGGAAGATGACAGGGGAGTTATGATTGTTATTTAGTACAACCAGTTGTCAACATGTATGAGTCTCTTCTCAAAGTCAGAGGCAAAGGAGCTGTGATGTGTTTTCTTGTTAAAACCTATGCAAATTCAGGTTATAGGCACCATGAGTTTTGGCCCAGGGGTTGCTGCAGTACTTGCTTTCTGTATGTATTTAATAACTAGAAACGTTTTGGCCTGGAAATTGCTCCAGAAATATGCAAAATGTGTTAGTTTTATTTTGTCAGATTTCCTTAAAAAGATCTTCCAACACTGAGACATGAGTTTGGGATGCAAATTGGCTTTAAAAACCATTTCTGAAAATTTGTGAGATTAATGTAGGTATTTCTTTAAGCCCTAAACCTGTCAAAAATCAGAATTTTCCAGAGTTTGAAATCAAATTCATAAATCAGCCTGTGTCAACTCAACCTTGAGTTTCTGAAAATATTTGTGAACTTTAACAGCTCTTTCAACAGGCCTGTTCTGCATTTTGAGTTTCTGGTGCAATGCAATCCAAGTGAGATTTATACGACTACACATTTTGTTGCAAACATTCACAGCTCAAAGCTATTACCTGACTGTCTTCCATATCAGGCCATTTATGTATCTAAGAAAACACTGGCATCTGTTTAATATTTTATTGCTTTAGAAATATCTTTGTTGTTCTGATACAATCTCGCTCTAACATTTTCATGAATAGAGTCTTTATTCTTTCTGTAGAGCTGAGAACATGTACCCTCATATAAATAACATTAACTATGAGTTGACCCATAATCTGCATTGCAAGAAAATCATGTAATAAGAATTTTTCCTTCAGAATGGGCTGTGGTTTTATTTGTTTTTATTTTTTCTTAAATTTTCTAATATTTTCCTTGATTGCAAACAGAAAACATGTAATGCTTTGTGACACTTTGTATTGAACTTCAAAAATAATACATTAAAAACATCCATAACTGCTTTCAGCTTTAGACCTTAACCGTTTATATTATTACTGATACATTAATTCTTAAGAAGCTTGAAATGTGTACAGGTCTATCCCCTCATTATTAAAAATGCATAACTTATGTACCCTATCAATCCATATACTGTAGATCACTTTATCAGGACAGGAAATGTAATTATCCCAATTTTATAGACAAGTTAATGCCACAGTAAGCAAAGTCACAGAGCAAGCAGAGCTCATATACAAAGACTGACAAAACCAAAATTCTGTTGCCTACATTGTTTTCCAATTTGATTTGTCTCAAATTAAGACACACCTACTTTTCTTTTGGGTTTTTTTTGGCACAGGGCTGCCTAAACAGTAGCAAATTCAGTGTTTCAAAACACAGGGTGAACAAATTCAAATCCAGCCTGCTTCAAAGCAAGCTCTGAATCAGACAGACAGCGACAACCTTAAAGCAAAACCTTACAGGAGAGTACAGAGGAGTTTTTCATGAACCAGCACCACACAGGATAGAAATAATACATTGATAATAGAGATAGATGATTGATAGATGATAGATAGATAGATAGATAGATAGATAGATAGATAGATAGATAGATAGATATGGCTATGGCTGTCTTTTCACAGGAAGATGTCTCAGTCCTGTTGGTAAGAGGTCCATGGCACCTGCCTGTCTGTGGGTGTGAGATGGATCTAAACCCAGCAAGTTGCTTGGTTCCCTTTGGTAGAAAAAAAGGCTTTAGTTACTGATACAATTGGAGCATTTGGAGCTCAGGAGAACTTTTCTGTCTTCATCTTGCTCTGACATGGGCTTTGTAGTGCTGTTTTGTTCCTGATAAGCAGCATCTAACATACAAACACTTTCCAGGACTGAAACAACCAAGGACTGGTTGAGAATACTCATGGTTTCTAGTCAGCATCTGCTTATGTCAGGGCTCAGGACGAGCAGGAGGAGGTAGATGAAGTGTAGTAGAAGACTCCTCTTTTCATAGTTGTATCAAGTACAGCCCTCCAAACCTTTTGCTTTGTTCTCAGGGTCTAGTCCAGGAGATCTCTGTGTCTCAGGCAAGATAACATCTGCTGGGAGCTGTGTTGCAAAGCTTGTGTGAGGACTTCTGTGTTCCACAAGTCTGGGCAAGGGGAACTCACCTCTTCCTTCCCACCACCCCTCTGGCTCCCCAGAGCACTCCTGGTTCTCCAAACTGCCTGGCTGCCAGCACAGTGGGAGCAACAGAGCCTGAATCTGCAGCTCAGCGTTAAGGATAGATTTTTATCTCTGCCTGAACCAACATCTCTTATGTGATGTCCTTTATTTACATCAGAATTGGAGGGGAGGAGGGAAGGTTTCGGGAGAATGAGTGGAAATGGGTAATTGCTGACAAAACAGTAAAGCCATCAGCCAGCTTGTGTCTAAGTGATAAAGAAAAAAGAGTGTCTGACTCTTTGTAAGGCTGGGGGAGTCTTCTCAAGAAATCATTGCTGTTTGCTTTTCTTCACCAAAGATTCAGTCTTTTGGGCATTGCCTCAGGCAGGGCTTCTAACAGACAGATCCTTGGTCCTGAGAAGAGGCTGGTTCCAGATGTGACTGCAGGTGACTACATTGAACCAATCAGGCACAATATGTACCCATTTGGGAAAGAATACACAGGGCATCGTGTGATAGAAATGGAGTCATGGGACAACAATTTGATACAAAGTGGAGAAGTTGGCTGCCAAGGTTGACACAGGAGGGAAACACAGAACAAATCAACAGCTGGAAAAAAAAAAAAAAGCTAAAATAGAAGAAAATTATTAATTTATGAGTTATACAAGTATTTTATTTTGAAGCGTATTTCAAATATAATTGTTCTAATTTGAAAATGATGGGTTGAAATAATAGTTCTGTGTATTGAAACTGCAGGGAAGATGCTTCAGGAAAATTTTAAGGAAAGGAAACCAAGGAAAATTTTATGAAAATTCACAAAAAATTTTGTAAAAGATCACCAAAATAATTGATAGAAGAAATTAAGCAACGTCCTAGCCCTGGTACCTTGGTTATAAGTATTAACACTGTAAGAACAAAAAAGGTGGGAACACAATCCCACATTCTGTGGGAATGACAGTATCCCAGGATCATAGACTTCTATAAAAATAGTAGGGGATGCTCATCTTCAAAAAAAGGTCACATCTGTGTAGCTGAACTGCCAGTGCTTGCAGATGAAGAAAACAAGAAAGATTTGTCTGACACTGGAAGATTTTGAACATGACTCCAGGAAACACCAGTGCCAGGTTTCTTCAGCCCAGCACATTTCAGTACATGTTTTAGAATGCACAATGACTGAGAAGGTGCTCAGATACACAGTCAACAGTCCATTCCTGCCTGCTTATCTGCATGTGATTTTACACATCTTTCAGCTAAATCAGAGATCCAAATGGAAAATTAATTGCTTAAAGACATGAAGTGAATTTGTGGCACTCCCTGGAGACTTGGTGCCTGTAAAGCATCTAGGTAGTCTTTCTTTTCTGACAGATATAATTTCAGTTTGATGTATACTTCAAGTGGTATTAAGTAATTAATCAATTATTAAATGTAAATTACTCATATGCTACAATTATTTTGTATTTTCTTTCTTCTATTTCACATCTATGGTTTATAAACATATAAAAAATACTGTGGGGAAACCTGATGTATAACGTGTATGCAAATTTGCACACTTTGCCCATACAGTTTTGTAAATTTGTTTCTTTTAGAAGATAAAAATCTTATAGAAAAATATTTTCAATTTACTCTTACAAATCATGGAAGCTTCAAAGAAAAAAACAGCACACAGGAGTAAAAGGAGGCAGAAATGGTGATAAAGAGACCAAAAAAATGTTGTGGTGTCTAAATTAAAATCATAAAACATTTCCACAGTTAAAATTTAAATCTAGAATGTCCTCCTTGTGAACAAATGCCTTGACTCCTGGTCTTTGTTTCTTCTGACTTTCACTTCTCCTCCTACAAAGATGTGATGGTGAGCAGGTAGGGATCTCTGTTTTGAACAGATGAAGTAAATATAAATAGGCAAGCATCCTTTCTTTTACTTTCAATGTCATTTAGGGAAGAAGAATAGGTGGGAACAAACAATTAGTAGGACAAACTTAAATGCAGAGAAAAGGAAATAAATATTTCCCCATAACTGTTACATAGAAATTATTTTATTTTAAACAACTGATGGCCTAAATTGGAATAACATTGCTGCTTTTACTTAAGAGGATTTCAATTCATATAAATCTTTCAATAATTGTATTATCTCCGATCTCTTTTTTTAAATCCTGCAAGACTATTTTGTATACAAGTGCATTTAAAAGTACTGTGTGATGTCATATTGAAGGAGGTTGTCTGCATTTTTTACCAGTATATCACACCTGTATTCTATATCCTAGTTTGTTCCATGTCTGTGTTTCCAAATCAGTCTTTTAATTCTTACAATTCTTATTAATTCTTAATAATTGATAAGGTGATTCTACACAATAGCTGAGAAAACACTGTTGATTTTTCTTCTACCTTTTCATCTGTACCAGTTGATTTTTCTTGGAAGATAATAACTGAGGAATCAGGCAGCTCCTTGTGTGTTTTTTTTTGCTTAGTTGAGTGAAAAGGACAGATAAAATATGTATATTCATTTTCAAATATTCCTTAAATAAACATTTTCATAGATAATTCCCTTCTGTTCATTTTTAACAGAATTTCAATGCTGCTTGTTTCCAGGATGTATAGGGGAAATGGATGGAGAACATCAGGTCCCTAAGCTTTGGAAACATCTGTCCCAGCATCTTAATCAGTAGATGGACTTCCTGTTTGCTGCACCAGGTAAAATAATCCATGTCACAATGAACAGGACCAGCATTTTCACTGTTCACATGTTCCACTGTAGGTTTTACTTTGTGCATATTTCTTATTACAGCATTATGAGAATATTCTTGTTGCACCAGTTATACTCTACAAGTATATTTTTGTGATGTGTGAAATAGTTCTTAAGCTTAAGTCCAACCAATCCTGAATTTTGAATTCTGACTTCAAATTCAGCTCTGAACTTCTTATTTATTTGCTCAAGTATAAAATGATAAAGGTGTCTGTCCAAGGCTCTAAAAGCATAACATTTTTAATTATATGGTCAATTAAATTAGATTAAACCTTAACAGAACTGTACTCACTTCCAAGGGAACTAACCATTGCTTTTCATCCCTTCTCATCTCGGATTCCCAAATCAAACAGATGTCTTGCTGCATCCCTGGAGAGGCCCTAAATGTGGGCTTTTTTGAGTTACAGGGAGCAAGTTCTAAAGTCTCAGGGGCTTCAAAGAGAAAGCCATAAACTCCATCCTGTTCTGTGCAATGAGGAAAATAGTTTAGCTGTTTTCTGCTAATTGCAGAGGGAAAGAAATGCTGGTAGGCTGGTCTCAGAATTCTTTTGTGTCTTCTTGGTTGTGTGTCATAGCTCTTGTCAGGTGAATGTGCAAGGGGTCGAGGTGCTTGTGTGGAGATGAGAGAGCTCTTAGCAAACTGCTGAAGTTCTGTGAACAAAAGCCTGATTGCAGTACAATGGAATTACTGATATCAGAGACAAAGTGTCATCTGGAAGTGGCTCAAATCTGACCCGTGGCCAGTGATGTTGAGCGTCTGTGAATTTCCGTGGTGTCCTTGGGAACCAGGGGGTACTTGCCACTTTTGAACTCATTTGTTTTTTACCAAATTCCCTCTGTGTTCTGTGCTTAGTCCTGTACAGAGCAGTGGCATTCCTCTGAAGATTCACAGGCTGGATCCTATATCTGCTGATCTAATTAGCTGGCCTGAGAAGCAAAACAGATTAGCTGTCTTAAGCCAGAGGCACACGCTAATGGAGCCAGGAGATGGCTTTATACCATACAGCTGTATCCTCAGAGCTAGATCCAAAGGTCTTTAACACCCACAGAAAGATTCCCATTTACTTCAGCAGAAGTAGGATAAGGCCCTGAGCTTTGAAACTGTTTGTCTCAGAATGTAATGCACGTTGGTGTCAAACATGGCTGTGCCCTAAGAGCAAAATATTAACCTATAGTAACAGTACTTTGCACTTACCTAGCAGCTCTCAAATAATCATTTCTGTGCACTTTAATTAATTAACCTTTACAACAACATGTCTCTGAGGGTTAGCTAAGGATCAGAACAGTGACGAGTTTAAAAAATCTCCAGTTATTCATTTATACTGAGACTATTTTTGATTGGAGTGTATTTGTGTCTTTTTTCAGATTTTCTTCCTGATCACAATGTCCTTAAGAGCATGTTTTAATTATAAGCACTTAAATATTCGTCAAGCAAAAATGAATGTTCATACTTTTACCATCGTACTATTGGGTAACAGTTCACTGGTTCTGCCTTTTACTGCTTCTCCTCTCACTGCACCTGCTGCCTCCTTCCTCATATCCCTTAATCATTTTCCAGGGCGTCCTCACCATTCTGTATTAAAGCAGTGCTGATTCTTAAACCTCTTTGTTCCAGCATGAAATCCAAAATATTAAGATAAGCAAGATAATTTATATATTGCATTGATCTGGTGGGCGAAATTGTGCAACTAGAGGAAAACACACCAGACCTCTTGACTAACTGTAGTGACTTAGTTTCACTAACAGCTCTTTAGGAAGTTGGTCTTAGATAGATGACAACTCAAACACATGGTGAATATTTTTGAACAATCAATATATTTAATTTTCCTGGGAGTTTTAGATTTCTTGGACACTATATCAGTGGTAGATATACGCAGAATCTGGAAGTCCTGATAGTTGTTTTCTAGTCATGGCTTTAAAGCACTCTCTTATCCATGTGCTAAAATAATGCAACATATAGACTTGTTCTAGAAGAAAAAAATCTTTATTTATAATTGTTAAAGTTTAGGTAATATCTAAAGATTCTACTGGAGACTAAAGTTGGGGGTGAAGAGAGTACAGAAATATCAGACTAAAGTGGCTCTGTTGGATCTAAACCACTAACTAACTGGAAAAAAGTTTGGAAAGGAATCTTGATTCTCCATCTCCCTTTTCTCTGACCTAGAATACATGAAGTTCCTTTTTTGTTATGAGCATATTACTGTTAAGGTTGTAAAGGAAAAACAAAAAGATTCCTTGGATTTCTTTAATTTGAAATGTTTACTTCCTGGGAATTATTAGTTAATTCAACTTGAACTACATTAGCTTATTCAGGTTTGTGGTTGATCTGATAGCCATGTTCCACGAATCACATGTGCCATCTGGCTGTAGTTCCATTTGGATCATATTGAGTCATTAGCTGCTAAAAAGATCTGTGGTCATTTATCTTAGTGAATCAGAACTGGAGTTTAGCATTATTTTTATATGGCACTAAAGGTCGGTTTTTTATTATTATTTATTTTTTTATTTTTTACTCCACACGTTCACTTTTAGGCTTATATTTTTAATTGCTATAATAGAAAGATTACATGTTGTTTGTTTGTTTTTAGTGACTCATTATATAATGACCCTGTGCTAGGATTTCTCTTGAAGTCTAAATGTTCCTTATTGTTCTATTGTTTCATTTAAAAGAACAATCATTGGTGACATGTAAATGAGTAAAGTTTTGTAAAAATAACTTGGAATAAATTTTTAATAAGACGTACTATTATCCTTTGACTCATAGCAAGTCATTCATAAACACCATTAAATCCTGATAATTATAGCTGTAGCTGCAGGGTTACTACCTTTACAGTCCTTATGCAGACTTCATTTAGAGGTCCAGTGGGGACATGCACACAACTGCTACAAAATGTTGCTATTAATGGTTTCCTTTGGAACAGTATTGTGCTAGATTAAACATTCACTCATGAAACAAAAATGTTTATAGGTCATGTAATAGCTAAACATTCTGTGACTTTAAAGTAAATTCTTTAGCTTTGGATTCCACATTTTAGGACTTGCACAATTTTTTTTTTCTTCTATATTCTACAAGAAATATAGAGATTCTGTAATGCAGCAAAAAGCTCAGCAATTTTCTCTGAATAATGTAGCAATCACCATCCCCCAAAGTAAATTGGACTATTTTGGTTTATAAAGCTGCTTAATAACTTTCAAAGTACCTCCTTTTCTTTTTTGCCCTCTTGTTACTCAGTTTCAGAATGACCTTTTGGAATAGAATAAATGCAGGGACTTACTGGATATCGCTTTCAGCTTGATGTCTTACAAAACACATGCTTATATATTTCCAGGAAATTTCTGGTCTAGACATAAACAAACAACTCTTGTCCTTCTAGAAAATAACCTAGACATCAATTTTGGAGCTGCATGGGCTCTTTTGAGTATCTTCTGATGTAAATCCCTTCCAGGAACACTTAACAGAAAGGATTTTTAGGAACATCAGTATTATATCCCAAAACTCTGCTCTGTCCTAAAACAAAGATCTCCCAAAATATCTCTAAGCTCCACTGTGCAGCAGAATTTGCACCATCTCTCTTTGCTAGTACTCATTTCCTTTTTCCAGTGCAGTTTACTTTTCCCTAGACTCTTAATTATCACTAATCAGACAAGCTAAGCATGAGGCACAGTGGCAGTTCTTGGGACCTGGAGTACTCAGCTCTGATGTTCTTTCATTCACCTGCCCCACTTCACGCCAGCAGTCCCTGCCAGGGGCTGTGTATCCTCCTAGATGGGCAGCTACCTCCCAGTCCCTCCTTTGGGCCATCACCCAGAGTGTGTACTGCTCCCTCCTAATTGCTGCAGTTCTGTTTGGGGGTTAATCAAGCCTGACTTCAGCAGGATTTCAACCTGCCCTCCTCTGTTGTAGGACTCACCGTGCTGTCCTGGGGCTTGGTGATATGGCCCTTGTCATGCTTTGGTGCAAGTGCCAGTGGTGAGAAGCAGGACTGTATCGACTCTGAAAAGATACCAAACATGCTTGAGGAAATTGGTGTCAGCAAGCTACTACTGTGGTACTACACCACTAGAAACTGCTTTCACTTTCTGCTGATTTGACTTTTACACCACCTTTTTGCAGTCTTCCCACTACTGATTTTCTTACTTCAATGGGGGTGGCCCATTGAAGGCCTCAAAGATGAGATTCTGCATTATGCCTTAAAAACATTCTGCCTGTGACAAGGAAAAGAAAGAAAGAGAGCGAGAAAGAAAAAGAAAGAAAGAAAGAAATAGAAAGAAAGAAAGAAAAAGAAAGAAAGAGAAAGAAAGAAAGAAAATTCATCATTTCTTTAATTGAAGGCTGAGCCAGCCTTTTACATTCTGACAGGTGTTAATACCGTTCTCCAATTTTGCAAATACTCTTCCACAGTTGGAGGACCCCAGATGGACAATATGACTTTTACAAATTAATGGCATTGTAATTAAAGATATTCCAGCATACCATAAGAGATGCAGAAATGTTTGTTAAACAGAGAAGGTGTTTTGAAATGCTGTGATGATCTGATATACAAAACAGCTTCTAATTTGTTCTCCTGGCACTAATTGCCAGTAGTCACTAGATAAGATTAGACTGATGTTAAATCATTGTATTAGGCAGTGGATAGTTATCTTTCCAGGTGTATTTTTCATGGCCATCTAAGAACTTTAATAAAGAGAGGTGAATATTTTTGAAGAGCAATATTAAACAGGAAGTAAGTCCTACTTATCTTTTACTGATGACCCTCACTTTTTCCAGAAGGGTGAAACACTGTTAAGATTTTAGACATTAGCACAGCAAGTCTTCATATAAACCCAGTTCCTCAGTCTGGAAAGACTCTTCCTTTTTCTGTATAATAAGATGCCTAAAATCATAGCTCAAATTCCTCCCACTCATCTTTTAAAAAACATTACCTGAAAAACAGCATTAAAATATTAT